GCCTGTTATTCTATCCAATTGACTATGCAATCTTGTCAATAAAATTTGATGAAATGAAAAATGAAGTTATTAATAATCATACTTGCGCGTGATATATATGACGTATATTTGACGACGTACTTGAAACAGAAACAACTAAATAATATATATTTTACTTATTTCAAAATAATTATTTCAATGTATATCAATCACTTCTGTTGGCCCCGTTGTTAGCGCACAGCGAGTCGTAATGTTTGAGGAAACCGGAGTACCCGTAGAAAAACCCGCGTATTCAGGCAGGTGATCCCGTACATTTTCACGTCCAATCGGGGAATCAAACCCCAGCCGCCTTGGTGACGGTGTGCTTTATCAATTGCGCCGCCCGACCACCCAATACACACATGAAAAAAAGAAGAAATCAAAATATATTAACGCCCAGACAATTTTATATTTATTTTGGTAATTGATGTAAAATGTTTGACAAATACGACAGTTTTTTTTCTTTTTTTTCTGCTATTTTTTGTTATTTGAATACTGATAGTGTTTGCACGTTCCGTTCGGAGGTTCGAGAANATGCTATTTTTTGTTATTTGAATACTGATAGTGTTTACACGTTCCGTTCGGAGGTTCGAGAATGACTACCAGACAAATTAACAAAGTCCTCATAACAAATAGCTAAACTCTAATATTTCGCTTCAATGGTATGATCCCGTGACTTTTCTCAAGGGCGCCTACGTATAGATGTCTTTTTATCCTGTCAACTATCGGCTGTGTTTCTCATTCCGGGATTCCAAACTTAATAAACGTTTTCTATGTCTCGTCAATCTGTTGCATGATAACAAACAAAATAATTATTAAGAACAGTTTCCGCGTTGTCGTGATAAAAAAAAATACAAACAAATCTAAATCCGTGATCGCTAACGCGCACGGTCATTCTACTACTGTGTGCAATCAAGCGTGAGCTTCAGACCATCGATCTCCCAAGAATTTCGGTTCGATCCCCCGGTGGCGGAAAAAAAGAGAGTGATGTCTGATAGGTTTATTTGTTATACCTCCGACGGCACAAAAACAAATTTTGTTCCCTAAGCGGCGTCGCAATAAAAGCTCTTCAGAGCTTATGTTTATTGTTGACAATTGTACACGATAAAGATGATTATTATTATTATATATACTTGTGTATTTATGAGTCAAAGAAGTTATATTTACGGTAGTTGCCCGAATAACACTGGATCCTTGCAAATGTATGTTTGTTGGGTACAAATTACTTAGAATTATATATTGGAGCAAGGGAATATGATGTTGTCAAATTTTTCGAGCAATCCGCTCCTTTGTCGAGACAGAAAAAAAACCCACAAAACAATTATTTTACATAAAAACAATCATAGAACTATAATAGGATATAGTAAATATTTTGAAAACATTAAGCCCCCCGGCTAACGTAAGCCGAAGGCAGTATTTACACGGACAGCATCGTTGACGACAAAGAGGTTAAAAGATGCTGAAGCTGGAAAAGGTTTGGTTTAATTTTGTTTAACGTCCTATTAACAGCGAAGGTCATTTAAGGACGTTGCTGGAAAAAGTGACACGACGATTCGACCGAATATGTGGTTTAGTTTGTTTGTGTTTTTTAAGGACGTGTAAAGTTTTGGTGGTGGAGGAAAGCCGGAGTTCCCGAAGAAAAACCACCGACCTACAGCCAGTACCTGGCGATATGGCGTAGAAACTCCCGAAATATCTTTTAGAAAGGTAAAAATAGGTAGTAAACACGTTTGTTATTTATATATACTGGCGTAAGTGTTGGAATGCGTACTATTAACGGTTATTACACCAAAATAAAATCGATACACAGTAGGCCTAACATGCAGGTTCAAGAAAAAAAATTCAGAAGGAAATTGACACAAGGTCAAGTGATTGGCTAACGAAATGCGAGTCGGGTCAGTGAAACTGTGTTAATGGCATGTACATTACCTCTAGTGACAAGACTATTGTGAACATATCGTAACCAAAATAAATACACCGGTGAAATTGACATGACTTTGCAAACAAAGCGAGATTCGTACGTTCGTATTATAAATTCCTCGATGGGATCCAACTTAATATCAAATTTCCTGTTTGTCTCAGCGTTTTACGGTTGACTAGAGGTAAACGTGTTTAGGGGAACGAGATTACACTAACTTGAACAGGATTTCTCCTGTGCCATGTATAGGTAAATGCATTTCATTGGACTATTTTTTAAAGGGAAGTTACTTAATTACTATCCTGCATGTTAGTAAGAGACCGACTACTACGTTGGGTATGTGTGTGTATATATATATATATAATCTATGTCCAGCTTTAAAAGGCATATTCGAGGATTACAAAGTGCGTACGGAGGTTATACAAATACATATGTCTATCCACCCTTGTGTGTCTACGAAAGCAATATTGTTTGTATTTCGTTGAGAAATTCTGAAGGAGTTCGTTACTTTATATGTAAGGAATTTACATGGAGCCTACCAGTAATGATCAAAACGTGAACTCGGCATGAGGGGAGTGTTCGAGTACAGGTAGTTTTAACGTGCAATGATATTAACTAGGTTTGGCAGGGATTACAAACGGTTCTACAGGAGTGAAAGTTCGGCAACAACGGAAAGGTAAGAAGCTAGGCAAAATAATTTCAGGGGTTATATCTACCCATGACGTAATAATTGTATCTTAGTCTCTGTGACCAAATATGCTTAACCGGTAATACCTACCTGTGACAAAATATGCTTAACCAGTAATACCTACAGGTGACTAAATATACTTAACCGGTAAAACCTACCTGTTACCAAATATGTATATCTTAACTGGTAAAACGTATACCTGTAACCAAATATGTATATCTTAACTGGTAATACGTATACCTGTTACCAAGTATGTATAACTTAACCGGTAATACGTATACCTGTGACCAAATATGTATATCTTAACCGGGAATACCTACCTGTGACCAAATATGCTTAACCAGCAATACCTACATGCATATGTGACTAAATATGCTTAACAGGTAAAACCTACCTGTAACCAAATATGTATATCTTAACCGGTAATACCTACCTGTGACCAAATATGCTTAACCAGCAATACCTACATGCATATGTGACTAAATATGCTTAACAGGTAAAACCTACCTGTAACCAAATATGTATATCTTAACCGGTAATACCTACCTTTGACCAAACATGTATATCTTAACCGGTAATACGTATACCTGTAACCAAATATGTATATCTTAACTGGTAATACCTACCTGTGACCAAATATGTATATCTTAACCGGTAATACGTATACCTGAGACCAAATATGTATATCTTAACTGGTAATACGTATACCTGTGACCAAATATGTATATCTTAACCGGTAAAACCTACCTGTGACCAAATATGTATATCTTAACAGGTAAAACCTAACTGTGACCAAATATGTATATCTTAACCGGTAATACCTGACTTTGACCAAACATATATATCTTAACCGGTAATACGTATACCTGTGACCAAATATGTATATCTTAACCGGTAAAACCTAACTGTGACCAAATATGTATATCTTAACCGGTAATACCTGCCTTTGACCAAACATATATATCTTAACCGGTAATACGTATACCTGTGACCAAATATGTATATCTTAACCGGTAATACGTATACCTATAACCAAATATGTATATCTTAACTGGTAAGACGTATACCTGAAACCAAATAGGTATATCTTAACCGGTAATACGTATACCTATAACCAAATATGTATATCTTAACTGGTAATACGTATACCTGCAACCAAATAGGTATATCTTAACCGGTAATACGTATACCTGTAACCAAATATGTATATCTTAACTGGTAATACGTATACCTGAAACCAAATAGGTATATCTTAACCGGTAATACGTATACCTGTAACCAAATTTGTATATCTTAACTGGTTATACGTATACCTGTTACCAAATATGTATATCTTAACCGGTCATACGTATACCTGTGACCAAATATGTATATCTTAACCGGTAATGCTTACTTGTGACCAAATATGTATATCTTAACCCGTAAAACCTACCTGTGACCAAATATGTATATCTTAACCTGTAAAACCTACCTTTGACCAAACATGTATATCTTAACCGGTAATACGTATACCTGTGACCAAATATGTATATCTTAACCGGTAATACGTATACCTGTAACCAAATATGTATATCTTAACTGGTAATACGTATACCTGTGACCAAATATGTATATCTTAACTGGTAATACGTATACCTGAAATCAAATATGTATATCTTAACCGGTAATACGTATACCTGTAACCAAATTTGTATATCTTAACTGTTTATAAGTATACCTGTTACCAAATATGTATATTTTAACCGGTAATACGTATACCTGTGACCAAATATGTATATCTTAACTGGCAATACCTACCTGTGACCAAATATGTACATGTATATCTTAACCGGTTAAACCTACCTGTGACCAAATATGTATATCTTAACCGGTAATACGTATACCTGTGACCAAATATGTATATCTTAACTGGCAATACCTACCTGTGACCAAATAGGTAAAACTTAACTGGTAATACGTATACCTGTTACCAAATATGTATATCTAAACCAACACTCTTTTATTCAGGTTTAAACAAGATTTATCATAATTTCTTTTATTATTTCCTTATAGAATATTTTTACAGACAGGATAATTAAAATGCGAATTCTCATATAATTTCAATTGAGTTTAAAGTAATGCATAGCAAAAAGAGACAGTTGGTAATCATTGTATAAGCCCCATTTCTTCAATATAGATTGAAAAAATAATGCACAGCTTAAGACTGGGAAATTCAAACAAGGATGATTCGGAAAAAAATATGACTATAGTGCTTATTATAATGTGTACACTTGTTTAATTAGTATTGGGTGTATAATATTTCTGATATACAATTGATTGATCATGAGCGAAATTCTATTGGCTGTGATCCATACACTCAACTAATACATTATTTCCTGTCATTTAATTAGTTTATTTCCGTTACTTTTCAACAGTGTATGAAACGAATTTCGCGTCCTTTTAAACGGGTAATTATACACAAAACCGAAAATCTTATATATTGATGAATAGACATGGACAACAATACTGTTCTTTAATTTTAGATAATATATGTGTACATTGTAAAACTGTTTGAGCAGATATATCGCTAAAGATTATCCAACATCTACGATGTATTTCTGTTTTAAGGGAATGTCTTAAAGATATCAGAGATTTCATTATCATATCTATGATTTACCAATTTTTAAGAAATGGTACTAGCCATCCACAGGGGCTAGCCCCATTGAGCCATCCTCGGTACTCGATCCATATGGGTTACGCTCAATTTCGCTCGATCCCAGAAAGCGAAATAGAACGTAACCTCTGGAGTATCAAGGATTGGTATGCTGTTTACGCAGGGATAAACTTTTTTTCCGTCTTTATTAAAATATCAATCCATTCTTTGAAGACTATTTCATTCAAACATATTGTATTGATACTGAACAGTCAAAGGGATTGGGCACACGTTCTCGCAACTTACTAGACCCTCTCCCAACAATACAACATACAACAAGTACGTATATCACGTGATAACAAAACATTGAAACATATATTATGTACTTGGTAATTGATATTCTTTTAAAACTATCTTATGAGCATTCTTAAATCTGGGGACATTACAGATATATACGCGATTTTCTATAGGCGTTCTTTATAGTTACTGTACCCACATCGGGACACTTTTTAGACAAATATCAATGTTCTTTATACCATAATATCAATTCCAAAAAAAATTGTTCATTTCTCACCGATAGATACTCTCCACTTTACATTTCTATTACAAGTTGGTATTTCGGGCGCGTGGTTCTATAAAAAGAACGCGAAATACCATCCGAGTTACGTAGGCCCTTGAACCGGCGTTACTGTACCCTGAAAGATTTGGGGATAAACGATCAATATCGGTAGACGCATAGTTGAAATATTTTAGAGTCAACAAGGGTTCTGATTAAATGTACCCTCCAAACTAGCATCAGTTTTGATAAAAATAGTCTTTTGAAAAGGATATCCAAATAAATAGCGTCGCACAGCAAGTAAATCAGGAAAGTCTTGTTTTGGTAATTATTCTTACCTTTAAATTGTTCATGTAACGATAATCAGCAACCAATGAAGCTTAATACAGTTAAATTGTCATGAAAAGTGTTATCAAATGAAAATTGTATACAAAAAAGTACTTCTTTGCATTGAATGACAGACTCCTGGGCCGTTTTCCCACAAATGTCCCGTTTTGGGTACTATCCCGATTTGTACAGTGACGGTAGCTTGCTGTATAAATATGAGGGTTATGGATATATGTCATTCATTATTTTAGACTATTTGGTCATGATATTTTTCACAAGTGCGAGAAAGCTATCGATTTTTTTCATTTTAAAACTTTATACAACGACGAAAATGTTACCCCTCGGCCGTTTTCTTGGATCGCGGTCCAACCAAACGGTTGAACCGATTAAACCTATCGCGGTCCAAACGGTTGAACCAGAGTTGTACGTTTTAGATATAACGTCGGACCCGGCAATCTGATGCTGCTTTCAGGCGAGCCTTGACAAAGCCTTACAAGGCCTGCAAAAAACAGACAAATCGTTTATTCCACATAAATGAACATGCCCCAGTGGTTATGCTCACTTTCGTTTCGTGGAGTATCAAGGATGGAAATTTTGAGGATGCGCAATAATTTGCTGCAGGAAAATTCAAAAGATGGAAATGCGTGAAATATTAAGAGTAAGCCAGGGAAACCCGTGAATACTTTCTGCACGTGTGGTATATCTTTATTAGATATTTAACTGGTTAATGGATCAGGTTTTCTGATAAAGTCAACTCAGTGTCATTCGAGTCTCTTCCTTGATACTCTCAGGGTTACGATCACAGGGACCTGAGAATTTGTTACAGCTATAATTATTCATCCTTGATACTCAAGGGGTTACACTCACTAACGCTCGTGCAGAGAGCGAAAGTGAGCGCAACTCCTGGAGCATCAAGGATGACCTATATTTGGACCTAAACAGATGTGTTCAGTGAAATTTTACACGATTTAGGGGTTTAAATAAACTTTCGGTAAAAATGCAACCCGGGAAATATATAATCAATGGAGTGGCCTTTTTACCGAAAATTACTTTAAACCCATAGAGCGTGTAAAAACACCTTCGTTTGGGTCAAAATATAGCTGTAACGAATTCTCAAGTCCCTGTGTTTACGATCACCTTCACTGCGCAGAAGCCCCTGGAGTATCGAGGTTATCTTCATCTAAAATTGACACACATTCTACCAAATCAAATAGGCTTGAATCGCAAATAATGTGATAAATAGATATGAATCGCAAATAATATGTTGAATAAATATTGATAAACCAGTTTGAGGGAAAACGTAGCCCAAAGTCCAATACACTGAGCTTGCACTTTTATTGATTGAAAAACCTGCTTTCATTTTCATAGTGCTATGGAAACTTGGATGACTTTGTGTTTGTAATGGATAGACGACTTAACATTTAATACCAAAGATATTAGAAATATGTTTAAATGTAATGACGATATCTCTAA